TACTACTAGTAAGGCACTTGTTACTACTAGTAAGGCACTTGTTCCTAGTAGCTTCTTGTTACTACTAGTAAGGCACTTGTTACTAGTAGCGATGCACTTGTTCCTAGTAGCTTCTTGCTCCTGCACTGGGGTGCCGAAAGCTGCGCTTCTTGACATAAAACGGGACAAACCCTTTCCCCTTAGAATCCTACGTGCAACATGTCGACACCTAAGTTGCGGTCAGATTTCCACACCTGAAAGCCTTATGAGTATTATAAATTCAAACGGGTGTGGAAATCTGATCGTGCTGTACCTGCTAGGCAAAATGGACGTGACAATCCGATCCGCTGCAAGTGTCATGTTGGAACAGAGCAAGAAGCGTAAATGAACTTTAGGGTTCTTGAAGTAGTAGCGTCCTTGTTCCTAGTAGTAAGGCCAGGAGCCCCTAGTAGCCTTTTGTTCCCAGTAGCTTCACCTGATAGGCTTTCCAGATTGGAGAGAGTTGGACGTGGATGCCACCGGGGTGCTGCATGAGTTGGAGAGCCCAGCCATGTTGAGCTTGAAAGACTCAGACTAAGTTTGGGGCATTTTCAATGAGCTGAGTGTGTGTGATTGACTCAGTCTCGAGAGAACTTAAGAGGGTCCAAAATGCGAGGAAGAAAGAAGGTAAGGCCCCCAGGCCCCCCCTTAAAGGCGAGTTTTTCTGAGCAAAAGCCGATTGGCTCCCTCCTCAGGTCCTTAGCAGAGCAGGTGCCGCAGGTGCGATCGAACAAGTGGTGCAATCGGACTTTTGCTTTGATTTGCTTTTCGTTGGACAAGCGCATCACTACTAGGAGCAAGGACGCTACTAGTAACAAAGGGCAATCGCTACTAGTAACAAGGAGCTACTTGTAGCGATGCACTTGTTGCTAATAGCGATGCCCTTATGGGCAAGTGTCTGTTGTTTGCAAGATAAGGACAGACAAGGGTTCATTGCACATGACAGGTGGCACAATTTGGAGTTGATCCAATGCAAGGTGGGAGAGGTGGAAAGCACCTTTGCAGCGCTTTGCAGTGAAATTGCTCAGATGCAATCAATAGCATCATCAGCGATCTTCTGCCCTACAAGCAGGAGGTGCGTGCATCCGGTGTGGTCACGACGGTAGACAGGCCGATGTAGTAAGGCTAAAGGAGTCAACGGCTAACATCGAACCGTAGTGAAGGCTACTAGGAGCAAGGACGCTACTAGGAGCAAATGGCATCGCTACTAGGAGCAAGAAGCTACTAGGGGCTCCTGGCCGTACTACTAGGAGCAAGAACGCTACTAGTAACGAAGGGCATGCAGTTTGCCTATCCCTGTCTTTCACATCGCTACGAATGGAACGACATCGAAACGAGGGGCAAGGCGCTACTAGGCGCTACTAGGCCCCAAACTTGTGCCCGCCAGCTGGAGCGCCTCAATGCATCCAACAAGACAGATCCACAGGCGAGTGGTGGGGGAAGGATGAAGGGGGCATGGCATTTTTCGGTCGGAGGCCATCGCTAGTTGTAACAAGGGCCTTTCTATCAGCTAGAAGCTGCTAGTAACAAGGGCATCACTACTAGTAGCAAGATTAGGTTGGAGGCCATCGCTGGTAGGTTGGATGCCTTTTCAAGGGGCTACTAGCGGCTACCATGTAGCCTTGGTGGCCTTGCGCTGTGATAACTACTTGTTTATCACAGCACTCAGAGATCATGTCAGGCGGAAAAAGCAAAGAAGCGGCAGGAAAAGCTCCAGCGGGAAGCTCATTGCTGGAAAGAGTGCAAGGCCTGGTGAATTGCAGAGTGAAAGACAGGGATAGGTACTAGTAGCGTTCTTGCTCCTAGTAGAGATGCCAGGAGCCCCTTTTAGCGTCCTTGCTCCTAGTAGCGATGCCAGGAGCCCCTTTTAGCGTTCTTGCTCCTAGTAGCGATGCCAGGAGCCCCTTTTAGCGTCCTTGCTCCTAGTAGCGATGCCCTTTTGTAAGTCTTTTGTTTTGCCGTTCGGATCAATTAGAGGTATGAATTTGATAAGAAGAAACAACATAGTTGGAAAGCGTGACCAGCGTTGCATTCATGAAGGGTTGCAGAACCCTTTCCGCTAAAGGTGACCTGCCGCTCTTTAGTTGCATGTGTCAGTACATTGCTACTAGGAGCAAGCACGCTACTAGGGGCTCCTGGCCTTACTACTAGGAGCAAGGACGCTACTAGTTGCATGTGTCAGTACGTGATCTTGGCGGATTCCTTTCTCAATCCACATCTAAAGTGCCACGCGCTCGTTTCAGGGCTGCCACTTCAAAGAGGCACAAGCAGTGGAGGAGAAACCCGGCGGAAATGTTTGAGGTCAGCATAGTGGGGCCCATTTGGTTGCGAGCTAAAAACATTAAGACACGTAATTCAGCTTCTTGAAGATTGGGTTCCTACTGCTTTTGTAGCTGCCTTTACCTTTCAAACACGGCAGCATGTCTCAAACTCTCTTATTTCTTGTCACGGTGGGCCATGTCTGGCGGGTTGTGGTGCTTTTGAAGCTTTTCTCCCAGCATATGCGATTTGTCTCGGACTTGTGTCCCGAACTGTGATGGCACAACCATGCATGGGCGTGGTGTCACGTGCTCTTTCTGCCGCAAAAGTCTTGTCACGCTATAGCTGGGGGAAGAGAGAAGAAAGGAACTCTTTTTGAACAGATGCTCTATTTGGGGTCTATTTCTGTGTAAGTTCTTTAGACGTCTAGACTGGTCTGGACCAGTCTTCGTTTCCTTTCCTTTTTGGTTCAGAATGTGCTTTTCTTGCTTAATTTTCAGCGATGACCTCCAACCTACTAGCGATGAGAATTAAGTTATTTGATGTAACGACTGTGCCAAGGTGCTTTGTCACCTTGGAAGAGGCAAAAGTTGCCTGTGCGGCTGCAGATTGCAGTGGCATATCCACACAGAGCAAGGTTTGCAATGGCTCCTTCACTGCGTTTGCTGCATTTCTCTCGCTTCAATGTTATATATAGATGATCCAGCACGACATTCATCTCTGTGTTTGATGTACTTCATGGATTGAGCCTCTTCACAACCAATGAGGCACCTGGACGCTCAATTTGGGATCTTCAGAGACTGTGGAAGTGCCTGATAGTATAGAAATGATGAAACTTTGCTCCAACAGAATAGGGTGGAGGCCATCGCTACCAGGTTGGAGGCTATCGCCACTGGGGTGGAGGCCATGGCTAGTAGGTTGGAGGCTTTGCTAATAGTTTGGAGGCCACTGCTATTTTGGTTGGAGGCCATTGCTATTCGCTATTAGGTTGGAGGCCATTGCTTTGAGGTTGGAGGCCATTGCTACTAGGTTGGAGGCCATTGCTATTCGCTATTAGGCTGGAGGCCATTGCTACTAGGTTGGAGGCCATTGCTATTCGCTATTAGGTTGAAGGCCATTGCTACTAGGTTAGAGTTAGAGGCCATTGCTACCAGGTTGGAGGCCATCGCTTCTAGGTTGGAGGCCATCGCTACTAGGTTGGAGGCCATTGCTATTCGCTATTAGGTTGGAGGCCACTGCTACTAGGTTGGAGGCCATTGCTATCAGGCTGGAGGCCATCGCTACTAGGTTTCAGGGCATCGCTATTAGGTTGGGAGCCATCGCTTCTAGGGTGGAGGCCATCGCTAGTTGGTTGCAGGCCATCGCTAGCAGGTTGGAGGCCATCGCTAGTTGTTTGCAGGCCATCGCTAGTAGGTTAGAGGCCATCGCTAGTAGGTTGGAGGCCATCGATACTAGGTAGGATGCCATCGCTAGCAGGGTGGCCATTGCTACTAGGTTGGAGGCCATGGGTGGAGGCCATCGCTAGCAGGTTTGAGGCCATCGCTAGTAGGTTGGAGGCCATCGATACTAGGTAGGATGCCATCGCTAGCAGGGTGGCCATTGCTACTAGGTTGGAGGCCATGGGTGGAGGCCATCGCTAGCAGGTTTGAGGCCATCGCTAGTAGGTTGGAGGCCATCGCTACTAGGGTGCACAGCTGTCATGCCCTTTATGGTCGCTCCAGGCACTTCAAGTGCAAACTGTCGCCGAACCTGAGGACTCTCAACATGCAGACGCTGTCTGTGGACAGGGAATGTCTCAACAATGTTCAAAACGCGAATGCATCCAAGTACGTCATCAGCCTGAATAACAAGCGCCCTGGCCAAATGCCTGGTACCATTTACCTCAACCAACTCAAGCTTGCTCCGAACCTGGTATTTTCTCCGCTGCCATACGACGGAGGTCATGGGTGAATGCAGAAAAAGCTTGTGCAGATGAAGGGCTTCAGCTTGCAACTCCCAGGACCAAGGAAGAGATGAAAGTCCCACAGCTGCAGTGGCATGTTGCATGGTGTCAACGTGTAAACACGCATAAACGGTTCTTGCTAATTTTTCAACTCAGTTCGGCACACCATTTCCTCCTCTTTGATGCTTGGAGTGTTCGTTCGGTGTGGTCTGGAGGCTCTCAATGTGGCCATGATGCAGAAAAATGTCCAGAAGGTCCACATCGGCTTACGGCGAGATGTCCAATTCGGTCAGGACCGGCAAGATTTCTTGGCTGTGCTCGTTTCAGTGTGAGAAACACATGATTGAGGATTCTCCAAACTTAAAAACACCTTAAAGAAGCATTCTAGTCTTCATGAAAAACCAGTCATAAGATGTGTTTGCCATTCCTGACCCAAGGCCCAAAAAGGCTCCTTCTGATCTTCTTCTTGTATTGGTGTGGTGGGTGCGGTAGCGGTGGTGGTTGCAGAATTGGTGGTGCACTTGTGCCCAATAGGATTGGGGTAGCTCTAAACTTCAGACAGACTGCCCTCGGAATGAATTTGGTTATTTACAAAACTTTTTTTCAGGGGCCCACTTGGTGATCCCCACCAGTGTGGTCATTTCTGTCACACCTTTATATAGACCTTTCTCTTTTCTCAACTTTTATGTGTTGCATAGTCTTTTTTTTTTCCAAAGAATCTAGGAACCAAATCATTAGTGCGAGCGCTTCTTCAAGGAAGCTCCCCGCCGCCATGAGCCATCCTGCGTCCAGTTACTAGAAGCTAACTTAGCCTAGTGGCGTGTTTACTCCCTTACTTACTTAAATTGAGCAAACACACCAAAAACTAGACATAACATATGTGTGTATATATATTATATATAATAATAATAATTATTATTGTTACTATTACTATTATTGTTACAATATTTTATTTTTTTAAAACACTTTTGTTTTCTTTGGGAATTCCGCAGGGGCCTTGGACGGATCCCTCCGTCTTCTACTGGGTGGACGGCGAGACCTTGGACGCAGAGTGGCCTGGCTGGGGCGGCTACGGCTCCGCGGAGGGCGTGTTTGAGATCCCGGTGAAGCAGCCTCATTGGGAGGCCTTCCTGGATGGTGTCTTGGCCATCGCTATTAGGAACAAGGACGCTACTAGGGGCTCCTGGCCTTACTAGGAGCAAGTAGCTAGTAGAAACAAAAAAAACATAGAATTTACATTAGAATTTAAGTAAAATTAGTAGCAAAGGAGGTTACTAGGAGCTTCTTCGCTGCCGGTTGGTCACATTTTCTGACCCGAGGCTGCTGTTATGTTGGCTATTTCGAGACAGTGGATCAGGATGGCACCAAAGGTGTCGGTGACACCACGTGCAATTTCTTCCGGATCCCATTTGCTTGCCAGCCCATCGAGGAGCCGAGTTGCATTCGAAAGCCGCTCTCTCATCTCAGCCCCGACCCAAAAGCATGCAATCGCAGCCATGCACACGTGGATTGGTGTGGGTGATGAGCAAATCCAACAACATAGATCAACATGGAAGGTGATTCTTTGGATTTGCCTGTAAATTCCTCTTCGCTGATTTGGCAGGAGCGGCAGGTTCGGGAAACAGCCAGGGACTCAGAGCAGCTCAGAGGCCTACAAGTCAGGAGAAGACATATAAGTGTAAGTCATGTCGAGTCATGTCACAGGACGAGTCAAAACTTGCTTTTAGGTTGGAGGCCATCACTATTAGGTTGGAGGCCATTGCTACTGGGCTGGAGGCCATTGCTTTTGATGGTTCTAAGGTGACAACCACCACCACAAGTCCATTTCCTTGGCACTATGGCTTAGCTATGCTCGGTACCGGAGCCTGTCCAAATGGCATGGGCGTGTCCGCCGTGCCGCTGAAGCAATGTGAAGAAGCGGCTCTCAAGGTAGTGCTGCCACCAGGTGCCTTTCGGCAACGATCGAGCCCAGGGGAGTTGTGAAAGAGCAAAATCTGTAGACTTTTTCTCAACGATGGCCTCCAACCTACGATGGCCTCCATCCTAGTAGCGGTGGCCTCCATCCTAGTAGCGGTGGCCGGCGAAATGCAAGTCCTGCAGTTGAAAAAACAGAAGCATTCTAAAAGAAAAAGAGAGAGCCTATCAGAAGAACAGACACTTAAGATGTTCTTGCTAGTGAAGTCTAAGACGTAAGCTCAGAATATGGGTTCGGACTCGTAGTGGGGGGCAAGTGGCGGGCAAGACATTCGGAATAAGACCAGTCTGTCCAGTCTTGACAGGCGTGAAGCGTGGTCGCACAGCAGTGCAAGCAGGCTATGACGTGGGATTGAAGGATCCGGCACAACCCTGGTGACTTGGAGAAGTACAATTTTGTTTATTTGTACAGATGAACTTATCGGTACTAGGTTGGAGGCCATCGCATTTCAATCATCCGTTGAAAGGGACTTGTGTGAAGATGCACTGCAGGAGTCGGAAGAAGGATGCTCACAGTACAACCAGAGCAGTCTAAAGACCTAAACCATCCTAAACCTAATGAGAAGCTAACAAAAAGAAAGAATATAAACGGCAAGGCGTAGCGACCACTTTAGGCCAGTTTCTGAGGTTGGGCGCTCCTACGGGATGTTCTCTCCACAGCGGAAAAGACTGGGCTCCCATATTCAATCTTGGCAAAGGCACGCCCGGCACACCTGGCATGCCCGGCATGCCTCAAAAGGACGACTAGGGGCTCCTGGCCTTACTACTAGGAGCAAGGACGCTACTAGGGGCTCCTGGCCTTACTACTAGGAGCAAGGACGCTACTGGGGGCTCCTGGCCTTACTACTAGGAACAATGTTTGCTATTAGAAACAAGAATTCAACAGAATTAGAATTGAAACTAATCTAAGTTTTATTAGAGTTTTGACGACTAAGTCTAATTAGAGTTTTGACGACTTGGCTTCCTCGAGGTATGTGACGGTGTAGGTAGTGAACGTAAGACCTGTAAGACCTTTCCTCGTAGCCAGGACACTACTAGTAGGTCCTGGCATTACTAGGAGCAATGTTCGCTACTAGGAGCAAAGGGCATCGCCACTAGGAGCAAGGACATTACTAGTTTCTACTAGTAGCGAACATTGCTCCTAGTAGTAAGGCCAGGAGCTACTAGTAGCGATGCCCTTGCTTTTCTCCGAGAGTCCGTGCTTTGAGGGGTGAACAACGGCGACTACACGCCACTTTGCATGCAGCCGCAGCAAAATGAAAGCTCCTTATCGGTCACCGGCATTGAAGTGGTGCCATGCTCAGACCGAGTGGGGCACATGCGGAAGCACGGTCTTGTCACTTGTGTCTAAGACCATAAGGAAAAGGAAAAGGTCATCGAAGGTCCACAGACAAACACAAAAAGCAAGTGTTTCAACACAACTTTACAGTGAAGGCGACACTTGATTGAAGCCAACTCCAGGTGGAGACTGCCTTTCCATACGATCGCTCTGGAAAGTACTTCTACTTTCCTGCTGAGGAACTGTGGCTTGAGAAACTACAAAAAACTCAATAAAGTGTCTTTTTTGACTGTAACAAGAAGCTACTAGTAACAAAGGGCATCGCTACGAACGGAGCGATCGGACGCTACTACATTCTTGGTCTCTTCCAAGTGAACGTGCTTGCCAGGACGCTACTAGGAACAAGTGCATCGCTTCCAGTAACAAGAAGCTATTAATTTAGTTTAGTTTATTACTACTAGTAAGGCACCTGTTACTAGTAGCGTGGCACCTGTTACTAGTAGCGATGCTTGCCAGGAGTGGGAAGAGAAGACTGGACGAGAATTGTCTCCGCAGGGATCGACCCAATCGATCAGCCAGTTCCGCAACAACTTCCCGGTCTGGACGGGCATCGTGCGGGTCTGGAGACCGAGTTGGCACTGAGTGGTCTGGTCTTGGTCCGATGGGCCTTTGCTCCGTTCGTAGCGAGGGCCAGGAGCCCCTAGTAAGTAGCGTCCGATCGCTCCTACTAAGCCAGACACCGTTCTAACTTTCTTGTCCTTTTTCTTTAGACCTTGAGACCTTGCTTCCAGGTTGGAGGCCATCGCTAGTAGGTTTGTGCAGCGTACCTTGAGACCTTGCTTTCTTGTCTTTCCTTTTCTTCCAGTCTGGAAGGCTTGGCCTAAGACACTTGACTTTGCGCCCACAGGTTTGGCGGAACATGCTCGGCGTCCATGGTCGCCGTGAATTCAACCCCATGCCCCAGCAGTGGGAGCCCGGAGACATCATCCAGGTGGGAGTCATGTGCCCTTCTGGACACTTGTCCGAAAAAGCTCCTAGTAGCGTTGTGTTGCTACTAGTAGTACGGCCAGGAGCCTCTAGTGGCGTCCTTTGCTCCTAGTAGCGATGCCAGGAGCCCCTAGTAGCGAACATTGCTACATGTGAGCGCTCATTTGAGCTCAAAACTGTCATTCTTGTGGAATGTGATTGTTCAACAAATCTGGGATTCGAAGAACAGATACACCGATTGTTAAGCAGCAGACCTTGTTGTGGACATCTGGGTGAGCGTTTTGGCCGTGCCAAAAAGAGCTCCTCCCTCTCTCTCTTTCTGCTTCGGATTCGCGCTGCCTCGAATTCGTTCCATGTCGGATTCAGTTCCATCAGCCGAGAAGTCTTCACGAGCTGAACCTACTGGCTTTGTTTCTGCAATCCCAAAGTGGTGCCCTTGAGAGTGGACATTTTATGAGAAAACACGATCAGATACGATCAGGATATATTGTGTTCGTCGCTGCGATCGTCCAGATTCTCTAGAAATGTCTTTAGAAGGCGTCAAGCCGCTTTCCTACTTGTAACAAGACCTTCATGAACAAAGACACCTCTACTTCTGGCAGCGAAACCGCTTCTTGGAACAAGAAACTTCTTCACACAATTAGCAATGACTTCCAACCTAAGAGCGATGGCCTCCAACCTAGCAATGGCTCGAAAGAAATGCGCAAATGAAGGTACACATGCAAAGAGCGACCGGCTCCAGAGAGAAAAAGACGAGATCTGGATCGAGCACTCGTTGGACATCAGAATCGCCCCAGAGTTGATCAGGGTAAGGCACCGCACTGAAATTCGTTTTTATCTTAATTCTAATAGCTTCTTTGTTACTACTAGTAAGGCACCTGTTACTACTAGCGTGGCACTTGTTACTATGATTTCAGGTGCGATGCCTGAATTCGTTGCACAGCAAATCCGTTTGTAGAGATCATGCTAGTGTGCTAGTGATCACTAGGCAAGTTGAGGCTCACATTGAAGAGCACGTGTGCCAAAAAAGAGCACGGCAAGCGAAACAAGACCGATGTAGGCTGACTGTCAACACACCTCTGCAAGTGAGATGAGCATTTGCTCCCACAAAGGGCACGTGGTCAGATCTGCAAACAGTCGACCCTGAGTATTGTCGTGGAGAACAATGGAGAAGAGAATGGAAGCGTACCAAACATTGGTTTTCTAATTAGAACGCTAGTAGTAACAAGAAGGTTTTCTATTTAGACTTGCTTGGTTTTTACAACGCGTGAACCAGAAGGCGCTGGAGCCGAGAACACAACCAAGCTCCAAAACGGGTCTGGAAACAGCGTTGCTTGTTGTGCACTCCACGCGGGGCGTTTTGAGCACTGAAACATCGAAACTTCTCTTCAACGGCTCCAAGGCTTTGGTCTGAAGGAGAAAAAGGTAAACATCTTGCTTTCGAAACAAGTGCCACGCTACTAGTAACAGGTGCCACGCTACTAGGAGCAAGAAGCTATTAATTAGAATTCTAATTAAATTCTTCTTGTTACTACTAGTAAGGCACTTGTTACTACTAGCGATGCACTTGTTCCTAGTAGCTTCTTGTTACTACTAGTAAGGCACTTGTTACTACTAGCGATGCACTTGTTCCTAGTATCTTCTTGTTACTAGTAAGGCACTTGTTACTAGAAGTGATGCACTTGCTTCTACTAGCTTAGGGCTTGTTGTGTGCGGAAGGAGAAAAAGGACAAGTTTAATGCACTTGTTCCTAGTATCTTCTTGTTACTAGTAAGGCACTTGTTACTAGAAGCGATGCACTTGTTCCTAGTATCTTCTTGTTACTAGTAAGGCACTTGTTACTAGAAGTGATGCACTTGCTTCTACTAGCTTAGGGCTTGTTGTGTGCGGAAGGTTTGGTGTGTGTTTTTCCCTTGTCTCAGACGAGCAATTCAGACCGGCCATCGCCGATTTCTTAGGATTCTCCTTGATTCCTTATGATCTTGATGGCCCAGACGAGATGAGATTCGAGACTTCGACCCTGGAAGGCGTACCGTAAAGGGCATCGCTACTAGGAGCAAAGGACGCTACGAACGGAGCAGGGGAGGCCCTAAAGGAGTGTAAAGGAGGCCCTAGTAGGGAACCTTGTTCCTAGTAGTAAGGCCAGGAGCCCCTAGTAGCGATGCCTAAAGTTAGGGCCTTAGAGAAGGCCTGACAGCAATGATTTCGTTCTTCTTGGACATTCGAAGGCCTTCTTTTTACCCTACTTTTCTAGATGCCACACTGCAGCGTTTCCGCACTCT